ACAGCAGGGGGCTGCGGGTCAGGATAGAGGAACACCGGCAGGGCTGGGGGGAGCGGGGGCTGGGATAGCAGGGGGCTGCGAGTCGGGGTTGAGGGGCAGTATCAGTAGGACGGGAGATTGGCAGGAGCCCCCCGCTCCCTGACTGGCCCCATGCAGCTCCCTGCTCCTCCCTTCAGGCTCTGCACCTAAACACGCCCAGCTGTGCCCCCTGCTCTCTGTTACTGACACCTCCCCAGCTCTGGGCTGCAGCTGGTAATGGGCGGCCTGGGCCTGGCTCCAGCTGCACCAGGCTCCCCTCTCTGGTGTAACCAGAGCCGCCTGGAGGGGAGCAGAGCTCCGCCAGCCCGCTGGGTCCTAGCGAACCCCGACTCCCTGCCCCTCGCCCCAGGAGGGCAGTGAGCTGGAGTGGGGTGCAGCCCCTCCCTGCCCTGCCACGACCTCCCACAGGGCGTGCGGCCCAGGCTTAGCACAGAGAGCCAGGACACCTGGGTCCCATCCAGTCCGGACATCGACGCCCTCTGGCCAACGTGGCCCAGCCCCAAATCCCAGCTAGGGGCCGGGGCAGGGCCTCCCTCTCCCAGCTCCAGCCCTGCTGCTCTCCCCTGCAGGCAGAGCGTGACCAGGGGCCACGTGCAGTGGCCAGCCCCTGCCCCCCACACCCTGGCACCCAGCCAGCTCCCCACTGATTTCGCGAGGCAAACCCTGCAAACCAGTCTCCCCTTCTCTGTACAACTGCACCACAGCCTTAACCCTTCCCTGCCCAGACGCCAGCCTGTCGCCCTGCCCCACACAACAAGACTTCACCAGTGGACCCTGAGGCTGCCCTGCTCTGCCGGGCCCACGCTGCACAAGCCCATCCGTGGCCTCTCTGCTGCCCGGGCCACCATGCCACCAGCTCAGGTGCTGGCACCTGCTCTGGGAGCTGCATGGAGCCACGGATTCCCCAGCCCCTGGCATGCTCGGCCACGGCTGGCAAGGGGGGGTGGGGAATTGGAACTGGGTCCTTTTCCCTCCAGGGGGCACCGGCTCGGATCCAGCCCCAGGGTGGGGCTTTCCCCTCATGGGCACTGGATCCAATCTCACCCCACCCTTCAGCGACGCCACCTGAGGAACAGTCAATGGCTTGTGTGACCTGAGTCTGCAGGTTCTCAGTTGGTCCCTGACGGATGGGTGCCCATGCCATGCAGCCGCCCTCACAGCTGGCTCCCCGGGGGTCAGCCCTGCAGTGGGGAGAAGGCCTGGTCTGGCCATGTGGCTGGCGGCCTCCGCAGCAGAGGGAGGGGGGCTGAGAAGTGAGTCTCCGCGCAACAGCCTGTTAACATTTCTCACCTAGTGGTTAAAACACTGCCCCTGTCCTGCACCAGAGCTGGCCGCAGCACACGGGGACTGGTGCCAGGAAAATGGCTCCAGCCCTGGCTGTGCAGAAGTTGTCTGTCACACACACACACACACACACACAGCCACGAGCGCAGTCAAAACACACGAGCCACCTGTCCAAACGTTCCCATCACACGCCCCGTCTCCACGGCTGGCAAACAGGGTGTATAGCAGGGAGACAATACAGCTGAAAACACAAACTGAACGACAGGAGAAAGGAAGCTGTCGGCACAAAGTAACAGCAAACCTGTCCCTGCTTCCAGCCCCACGCCCAGCTCCTGCAGAGAACTCCCCGCTTAGATCCAGTCCAAGTGCTTCACGCCCTCCAGTTATGCCAGGAGCACCGGGCATGGGGCAGCGGGTCCCGCGGGGGCTCCCCGCCCCAGGCTGCTCCTGCAGACGCACAGAGATGGGCGGCACAGAGCCCTGTCAGGTAGACCAGCTCAGTGCAGTGGGCTGGGTGCTTGCAGGAGGTTTCCGCCCTGGGGGCAGCCACTCTCCAGCCCAGGACGCTTGCCTGAGGGCTCCCTTGCTCTCCACCTGCCCAAGAGAGGTGCCCCTTGCACGCTCCAGCCCTTAGCCTTGACCTCCTCCAACACCCGCTAGCTGGGGGGTGCTGAGAACCACCTAGCCCTGCTGCACCTGCACAACCGGGCGAGTGTGCTCACACATGCGCATGCAAAGAGAGCACGCATGCCTGCCATTTGGGGGAGGGACCTGGGCGGTGGGTCATGGCAGCTCACGCCCAAGGTGGAGATGGTGCCTGCCCATGGCCCGGGGTCTATGATCACCCACAGGGGGTCAGAGATCACAGTGGATGTGTGAGGAACTACCCAGCAGGGTGCCGGGGTGACCCCAGCAGAGCCCCCACTGGGTGACACCTGGGCACTCCCACCCCACCAGGTCACAGCCCCCCCCAGTCTCAGACAGGGGATAAGGGGTGGATCTGAGGGTAATTAACAACTGGCTGGGGAGAAGTCTCCGTCCCTGGGCTGTTTCCCTAACCGCTCCGCACTAGGAATGGTGGGGGCAGGTCTCTGTCCGTGTTACGCAGGTTGTCACAACAGTCCTTCTGGCCTGGAAATACAGGGTCCTTCTCCCCCACCTTCCATGTCCTGTTTAAAATAGGTCACCTCCCCCCCACTGCTGGCCGGGAGGCAGCTTGCATGGCCAGAGGATTAGTTTAACCCCCGGGATGCTGGCGCTGTTTAAGACACAGGCCTGAGGGGGCAGCCTGCCCACCAGGAACCACCGCGAGTGCCCGAGTCTGACGCCAGGAGCTCTGGGGCCGCCCAGCTAACCCCCTCCTGACTGGGAATCCAGAGGCTAAGAGCCTGCTGCTGGCTCAGAGCACCCCCAGCCCATAGACGCCACCCCCCTGGCCTGGGAGCTCCGGGGCACACGCCACATCCCCCGTCAGTGCAGCACATGGTGGGGAAGGGGCTGGGTGTGAGCGCGGCGCCAGCCAGACACGGGGGGGGGGGGGGGGGGGGGGGGGGGGGGGGGGGGGTTATCCCACAGGGAGGGCAGAGGGCGCATGAGCTGCCAGGAGCCACTGCAGGCTGGGGAGGCCCCACAGGGTGATGGGGCAGCTGGAGCAGCCAAAGGCCAGGCTGAGAGCTCCCTGCCCCAGGGACCGCCCGATGCGGGGGCTGGGGATGTGGACAGGCAGGGCTCCCTGTTACCCAGCCCCCCGGGCCCTTCTCCAGGAGGGGTCAGTCTGCAGCCCAGATGTTCAGCGCCTTGCTCCAGAGCCCTGCCAGGCGGGACCTTGCCCAGGCCCCACACAGCGTCCAGCTGGGGTCAGGTCAGAACACAGGGCCTGGAGCTACAGGCCCACAACAACACCTGAGCCCCAAGTGCGGCCGGGAGGGGAGGGGAGGGGAGGGGGCTCCTCACAAGCACCCACCCAGCCAGCAGACACGGCTGTGCGAGAGCACACTGCCCCCCCCCGCCACCCTGTCACAGCACACTGCCCCACCCCCAGGCTACACAACACCCCACAACTCTTCCGACACAGCTGGGTCCCCTGGGGCTACTCAGTACAAGCCGCCCCACCCTAGCCCAGCCAAGAGCACTGTGGGACTGGCCTGCCCCAAGCCCTCCGCACAGGAGCCTCTGTGCAGCCCTGGCTCTGCCCTGCCCTGCCCCGGCCACCGCCGGGGACGCAGTTACTCACATAGTCGTGAAAGGCCTTGGCTTCGCTGGAGTGCTCACACGTCTCCCGGCGGTCCGGTGCCGCGCAGTACAGGTCCCAGAACACACTGTGGGGAGAGAGCGCATCAGTCAGGCCCTGTCCCCCGCCCAGCCGGCAACCCCCAGCAACACCTCCCCCCCAGTTCTGCCAGTGCCCCTCGATCCTGACCCGCAGCCCCCTGCTCCAGGTTCCCCCAGCTCTACCAGTGCCCCTCAATCCCAACCCGCAGCCCCCCAACTCTGCCGGTGCCCCTCGATCCCGACCCACAGCCCCGTTCCCCCAACCCTGGGCTCCCCCAGCTCTGCCAGGGCCCCTTGATCCCGACCCACAGCCCCTGCTCCCCATGCCCTGGGCTCCCCCAACTCTGCCGGTGGCTCTCAATCCCGACCCACAGCCCCTGCTCCCCATGCCCTGGGCTCCCCCAGCTCTGCCAGTGCCCCTCAATCCGAACCCACAGCCCCCAGCTCTGCCGGTGCCCCTCACTGACCCGCAGCCCGGTTCCCCCAGCCCTGGGCCTCCCTGAGCAGCAGCTCCCAGTTGTGCTGAGCTGCAGGGTAGACAATGAGGCCTACGGCCGAGTCTGAGCTGGGGAGGGGCCCTAGTGCCACCCAGCTCACCGTGCCAGCTCACGAGGGGTTAACTAGTGCCACAAAGTCACTGCCGAAGCCCCTCAGCCAAGACCCACCAAAACTCACTCCACCACGGATCTGAACCCCTGGAGGCCCATTCTGTGCTGGTGCCAGCCACGGCCGTGGGGTCAGGTTGGACCCACAGGGTCAGGGCCGATCGCCTGCAGCGGAGAATAACCGTGCCCTTGGGGGAGCAAGGGCACAGCTGCACCTGGCCCATCCCATTCCAGATGCAGTGGCTGCTCCAGGCCCAGGGGCTGGCCCGGCTCCCGCTCAGCCCGCAGGCTCCACCGCAGAGTGTTTTCCCCGGTAACGGTTGCTAAGAACATCAGCTGGAGCTGAAGTTAAAATTCCAAGAACTTTCCACCAGGCTGCGGCATCCTGGGGAGGGGGAGGCCAGGGCCCGGCCAGAGCCACCCTGCTGCTGGCGCCCACCCTGCCCCGAACAGGCTTGCTCATGCACTGGGCTGACAAGCACACAGGAGGGGGCTACGGGGCGGATGGGACGTGCCTGTCCATGTTTCTGGGCAGCCCAGGGCTTGGGAAGAGGCTCGGCGATCTCTGAATCCCCAAGGGAGCCTGCAGCCCCCTCGCCTGTGGCTGCTCACACTCTGTGGGCAGCACGGCGTGGCCCCGGTGAGCCACACGGACGTGCAGATCACGCAGCCACCAGCCTCACTCACGTCTTGCTCCCCTGCTCGGCCAAGGCATAATGCACCAGCGAGGCCTTCCGGGGAGCTACTCCAGCAGCCCAAGGGTTAATCCCAATCGCCCCCCCATGCCTGCTATAAGCCATTGCCTAATAGTTTATTGGAAACAGCTAAATACACAGACATGAGGTCCCGACGGGCAAACACCCCCCTGGCTCCCAGCGCCCCGGGAGAAGGTGGGGTGGGGGCACTCACAGGCACACTGCTGCTAGGCCCTGTAGCTAGATCGGCAGGATGGGTCTGTCTCTGCGAGCACAGAGAGCTATCCGGCTCAATCTACAGACGGGGAGGCGATGCCCAGAGAGGCGGACGGCCTTGCCCAAGGTCACGTTGGAAGTCTGGGGCCGAGCCAGGACTGAACCTGGCTACCACGACTCCCAGACTGACCCCTTCCCCGGTGGGCCAGGCTGTCAGCCCTGCTTCTTCCTGCCAATGTGCCTAAGCTCCAGGAGCCCCAGCACACACGCTGGCTGCAGCTGGCCATTTGGAGACCCGCTCCTCCGCCCCGCTGCTGGCTGGGGGCTTTGGGAGCTGCTGGCTGGGGGCTTTGGGAGCCGTGCCCCGAGTTAGCTGGCGGCGATTCTCCCCGGTCGACCCTGGTTTTATTTACGGCCCACAGAGCCTGGTGCCATGCAGGGGCTGCGCCGGGTCCGTCGAAGCTGCTGGGCCAAGCGGAGAGGGCCGATCCAGCAGCGCTCGCCCCCGGCTGGGGCCGGACTCGCCCAGCCCTGAATATGTCTAGCACTGCCCCTTTAAAAACCAATAGCTGTCAACCACTCCGGGCATTTCCAACCAATAGGATGACGGTATGCAAATATACTATGGGGAGCCAGGTGGTGAGTGGCTGAGTGCTCTGATGTCACCATCTCATCTCACACACACCCCCGGACCTGCCCTGAACTTCAGCTCACTCCAGGGGTGCCCACAGGGGAGGTGGGGCAGCGGGGCCGGCCCCGGGGGCACTGACCCTATCATGGAGCACTTGTCTGGCCAGCGTCAGCGCCCCCTGCAGGAGGCCAGGCACCAGCGACGCTGCTCCGTCCAGCCATAAACCCCCGACCTCAGGGGCGCAACCCCACGGCCCTGGGCATCGGCATGGACCATTGCCTCATCCCCCTTCTGCCCTCCACCACAACCCCAGCTGCAAGGGGATCCCTCCTGCTGCTCTGGGATACCCTGCCCTGGGTATCACGGCCCCCTAACAGCCCTGACCCCCTTCCTCCTTCCCGGCAGGAGCAGGGACCACCCCACAAGGACATGCTACAGCTGGGGCGTCCAGAGTTCAGCAGGCTCTGACACACCCCCAAGATGGAGGCACAGCACAGTGGATGGACAGACACCCTGAGCACAAAGGCAACAGTGGGTCAAGCAGCCTCACTGCACCCCAGCTTTCTCCTGAGCTCTGGGGCCCTTTCACCAGCCCGTCCCATGGGGTGGGAGCGGTTCTGCTGCATTCACCCCCAGGAGCCCCCAGGAACAGGAGCAGAGATTACAGCACCTTGCATGCATGCAGGGGGACTCAGATTCCCAGGGCCCAGCTGGCAGGTGAGTCTCCCCCCCCCACTCCCAGGCATCTCCTGTGGGTACCCAACACGAGCAGCCCCATTCCAGGAGCTGGGCCCTATTCCCCTGCGGCTCTGGGGGCAAAGGACATGGAGCTAGGAACAGACCCCAGACCCCTGCGCTCCAGCCACTGCCCTAGGCTGCCTGGCCCTTCACCTTCTCTTTGTGACATCACAGCTGGTTGCCAAGGGGACTATTGTGATGTCACAAACAGAGGATGGGGTGGGGGCAAGCTCTGAAGCAAGAGACAGCTGGCTGGGCTGCACAGAGAGGACCCTGAATAACCCCGTCCAGCTGGGGCACGAAGGAGAGGTAGGAGCCCCTCCTCTCCCCCCCCCCCCCCACCCGCATCCTCCCACAAGCACCCCCAGCCAGACATGCCTTGGGGCAGCACTCCCCACAGACCCAGGAGTCCATGCCAGGCTGCATCAGGCATCCCAGCCCCATGCAGCCGGGCTGTCCCAGCACAGAGCTGTGGGGCTGGAGAGCTCTCTGCAGCTCAGAGCCAGCCCCTCCCTCGGGGGCCAGGCGCGGTTTACGCCCCCGGCAGCTGGGCTGCACCAGAAGGTGGAGCCAGGCACAGGGCATCTGGCAGCTACTTTGTCATGGTGCAGACAGGCAGGACAGGGCACGCACAGCTCAGCGGGCGGGGATGGGAGCCCCGTGCCCCCCAGCCCGGGCCATCAGAACAGCTCCAAACCCAGCCCAGCGAGGCTCCTGGGGGAGGAAAGAAATGAACCCCGACCATGAACTCCTCCTGGAGTCCTAAGTCTACCCCCCTTTAACAGAGGAGCTGTGCAGGACAAGACCAAATCCTGCCTCGTTTGTCCATTGGGCCCTTGTCTCCTTTGCGCTCCTGTCTGAGCTGTGTGAACTCGGGAGGATCCCGCTGGTCCCAGAACATGGGGGTGCCACGGAAAAGTAGGTCAGGCCCAGATCTAACGGGACGAAGCCCCGTGGCTGCCTAGGAACGGTGCTTTCTGCCTTTTTGGGGCCAGCCAAATTGTCTCCATATGTGTGAGCCGGGCCTGGTGGGGCCCAGCGCTGGGGGAGCCGGGGTGTTTCCGGGAAGCAGGATGGGGGGAGACCTAAAATAAATTCCAGTTGCTCCTGCTGGCTGATGGGAAAAGCAGAACAGCAGCTTTATGGGGTTCGAGGTGATGAGTGTCAGCGGCAGAGGGAATAGCCACAAGGGACAGGAACTGGGGGGGGGGGGGGGGACCAGCCCTTCCCCCTCCCCACTCCACTAACAACCCCCCGTCCCCTGCTCTGCTGACAAGGAGAGGGCAGGGGGCCATCTCCCCCCACGCAGAGCCCAGCTGATCAGGGGAATTGCATACCCACCCCATGGCTGTAGCCCAGGGGACAGCCCACCCCCCACGCAAGCTGGGAAGGGCACTTACCACCACCAGGAGTGCAGGAACCCCGGGGGCTCCCCCAGCGTGATGTTCTTCTCCCATCGGATCTGCAAGAGAGAGGGCAGGTCACCCGAGCCGTGTTCGGACAGGGGGCCCCAGTTGGAAATGGAGCAGCAGGCACAAACCCCTGCAGCGTTCCCGTCTGCTGGCCCCCCAACTCCAGCCTGTAGGCTTGGTGCGCAGGAAGCTACCTGCCGTGGGCGACTCAGTGCGGGGGTTATCGTACGGTCAGGGAGGAGAGGGGTCGGGGCTCCGGGCACGCCTCCAGCTCCCTGATGGTCTCCAGGGTGTGCGGTCCCTGCAAGGATCCCCCTCCTGGGGCCCGTGCGCTGAGCCAGCCACACCCAGGAGAGCGGTGGGGGCTCCGGGGCAGGATCGAGGGGCACCAGAGCTCCAGGGCCCTTGTTCAGCAACGTGCTGTGCAGAGCCCCCATTTGCTCCATCACCCCAGAGCCAAGAAGCCCCTCGGCCGGCTCCTTGCCCCCAAGACCTTACATGGAGGAGTCACCCCAGGGTTCCGGCCCTAGAGCCCTTCCCTCCCCCCACTCCAGCACACCGGGCAGTAGGGCTGCCCCAATGCCCTGCAGCGGCACAGAACCAGCTGTGGCAGCACCCAGGTGACACAGCCTCCGCTGGACCCATCCCCACCGCACTTGGGCGTCCCTCTCCCTGCCCCAGCTGCAGACCCTATGTCCCAGCCCCCCTTGGCTGGGAGCCATGCACCTGGGGCCCCTCACCAGCCTGGGACTGCCCCCTACAAAGGGCCAATTGAACGCTTTGGCAGCCCATGGTGCCAAAACGGCCCTGGCCAGTACATGGGACTGGCCTGTGAGCAGGGGTGAGATGGAAGCTCTAGCAGGCCATGGGAGAGCAGCTGGGCCATGTGCCCAGGCCACCCTGGTCTTACCTCCGAGAGGAAGGTCTGTGCAGATTTCTGGGCTCCCACGTGCAGCAGGTACTCGTACACGTACAACGCCAGCCTGCGCGAGACGAGAGATGCCTCAGTCCCAGGAATGCCCCCTGCCCCCCCCAGCCCGCTCTGCAGCAGGACCTGGCCCCATGCAAGGGGCCCATGGGGCCGAGCCAGCCAGAGCGTTTGATCCCAGGAGGAATCGCGTTAGTTCTGTCCCGATGCCCCACAGAGCCGAGCCCTGGGGGGCCTGCACCCCTCCCCCACCCTCCACAGACCAGGCCACTTTGGTCAGCCCCACTGTGCTATCTGGCCTGAGAGCCCAATTCTGCCATCTCCTCCCTCCGGGCACAGCTCTGCCTATGCAGGACAGGGGCTGTGGGGAGCAGCATGTGGCCAGTGCTTCCAGGAGCCCCCTGGACACCAGATTCCCCATGAGGAGAGGTTTCCTTCTCCCCTTGCCAGGAACAGGGATGCAGACAAAGGCCCCTCACCAGGCCCAGATCTAGCATTAGCAAGCGCCTCCCATTGGGGGAGCTAGTGGGTCAAGCAGCTGCCTCTGGAGTGGAACACGACAGCCGTGCCACACCCTGGGCTGGGGCAGGAAGCCAAGTACCCTGTGCCCCACAGAACCAAGCACAGTGTCAGTCTGGCAAGTGCCCATCCCTGCCAGGCCCTACTAAAGCCAAGGGGAACCGCACACCCTCCAGGCCCACAGGGCAGAGTCCGGCATGCTGGGACCTGTGTCTAGAGCAGACAGCCCAGCGCAGCTGGCATCATGCCAGGCTCCATGGAGCAGGGAGGGCTGGGAAAAGGACTCAGACTAGACCATTCAGTGCCAGCCCATGTGCCCCAGGGGTGCCCAACTCCTGCCCCACAGAGCATGAGGGGGCTGCAGCTGGGGTTACCACCTTTGAAATGCAGAAAGTCAGGCACACACTCCCCCCACAAGACAAGCCCGCTGCACCCCCAGGCAACGCCGCAAACCCCTCCCCCCACTCTCACGTGACTCAAACCCTCTCACGCCCGCGTGGGGCGCTGGCACGTTGGTGGGCAGGCAGCTGCTGTATTTGCAACCGTTTTGATCGGTTATCTCAAGCTGCAGCATCTCTGGCTGGACACCGAAACTTTCACCATTTGCTACCCCAGTGTACGGTGGTGATGATGCAAATCTTTAGACCCATATTAAGAAACCACCACCAACCCAGCAGATTAAATTATTTTTCTGGCAACTGGCAAATCCAGAAAAAACCCAGCCAGGGGGTAACCCTGGCTGCAGCAGGAGGGGCAGTGCCCCAGGGATCCACCTGGGGGTCAGGGCATTCATTCTGCAACCAGCAAGGCACCCCCAGTGCCATGCGGTGCCCTGGAAGTGACACAGGGAGCACCCTTGGGCACCAGGCTTTCCCTGCAGGGAGAGGGGTTTTCGCTGCCCCGGGCACAGCGCTGGGACCAGGGAACAGCCCCTGGGCACACCCTGTCTGCCACAGGCCCTGACCGGCCCAGAGCCTGCACCCAGGAACACATCAGCCCGCACAGGGGTCTCTGGCTGGGGGAGGGGATGGGTCCAGCGGGACGAGACACTGCACAGTCCACAGCGAACCACGCAGCCCCCCCGGCACCCCCCACGACCCCTGGGGCACGAGGCACAGCCAGAACCAGAGGGGAAATGCATTCCCAGCCAGGCTGTCCAAGGGAGAGTGGGGCAGCTCCGCCCAGTCCCCCTACACCTTGGGCGCTGCCCTGCCCCCCATCATGGGGCCTGTCCAGCCCTGCCACTGGCTCCTGCTTCCCCATCCATTTGCCAGCACCGCAAAGCATCAATTATTCAGAACATCCTGAGCAGGTTGAAAAGCCGCCACAATGCAAGAAAATCCGGAGCGTCAACACCGCCTGCCCCCCAGACAAAGGCACCGCACGGCTGGGCTGAGACGCGCCCCAGCAGGGAGCCCAGCAGGCCTTGCGGAGCGGGAGGTACATGCCCCGTGCTCCCCCTGCCCGGTCCCCCTCACGCACCTCACCCACAACCCCGCTCGTCTGCAGAACCCTGGCTCCCTGGGGGCCGGTTCCCACCCTTCCTCCTGCCCCAGTGCTGACCCACAAGCCCCAGTTCTCACAGCTGGCGCCTTCTCCTCACCGTACCCACTCGTCCATCACTAGTGGAGGGAAGGGGGCAAGGTTTGTTTCACCCCCCTGTGGCCCCAGCATGCCAGGCCAGCCCGTTCACACAGACTCACAAGGGCTGGGTGTTAAAGTGTCACCTGGGAGCAGGGGCTGATCCCTCCCCCGCAGCCCTGCCGGGTTTACACGGGGAGCCGGACAGGGCCCAGCTGCTGAGCTGGTTCAGAGGGGCCAGCATGCTGGGCTTGCCAGAATCCAGGGTACCCCCACTCCCCCAGGCAGCCAGACCCTCCGGCCCAAGGGAGGATCCATGGGGCTGGGAAGGACATTAGGGGGATGATGAGAGGCGCAGATGGAGCTTTCCTAGGGCACCAAGAATTAACCCCTGGACTGAGAGCACCTCCGCCGCCCCCCCACCCCCTGGCAACCAGGGCAGGGACGAGCCAGTACCCGTCTGGCAAACCAGGAGCCATAAACGAGAGTCCCATGCAGGGCTTGGTCCTCCGGGGCCGCAGGCAGTGAAACCTCATCTGCACTGGCAACAGTTCCTGGTGTCTGAGTCCCGCCGGGTGAGGTGTTCCCAGCCAGCCCAGCCACGGAGCGATGCAGAGAAAGAGCACGAGGGGGGATTAGCAGGGAAAAGCGGGGGGCAGAGGGATAAGCTGGAGGGGCGGGAAACTCAGCCACTTCCCCACCCATGCAACATCGTCCCTCCACTCGCCGGGATGCAGCGAGCACACAGGACAACAGGCTCACGGGCACTGCTCTGCTCCTAGGGGAAGAGCCCCCATGGGGAGCACGCAGGGCACCAGTTCTAAGGGGTGACGAGACCGGGGAGCTCAGACCCCTCAGCTCAGCCTGCACCACTAGCACTGGGATGGGGGGCGGGCATCTAGACACACGGGGGAGGGGCCTCCTGCTGTCCTCACAGCCCCATTTGGAGGGCACAGGGGGTATGGAACCTGCCCCCCCAGCCGTGGCCATGCCAGGAATGGACCTCCACCCAACACATGGCCAGGAGCCTTTCCCTGTGCCAGGGCTGGAGCCAGGCAGTTCAGCCCCACAGCTCTCAGAACGGGGCACGGCCATCACCTCCCTACACTGCTAGCAGCTGGCACAGGCAGGGAGGTGCCCCTCACCACAGGAGGAGCTGGGTTCCAACCAGGGCCCCGCTGGGCACACAGACATGCCATGGGGAAGAGCGCAGTGCTGGACAAATCCAGAGAGAACCGCTCCGGCTCTGCCCGAGTAACCAGCTCCCCCACCAGGCTGCCTGGCCCCCAAGGGGGCCCCCCCCCAAGCGTTATCGGTGCAGGAGCCTGAGGGGCCCGGCCGGCCTGCTCTGGCACATGGAGCATGAGGAGGCAGGGCCGGCTGGAGAGCAGCAGCCCAGAGTAGGCAGAGATGGGAGCAGAGAATTACCCCAGGTCACTCACGCTGCACAGCGAGTGCCCACTTGCTGTGGACACAGCTGTGGCGGGGGCAGCGCTGGCACGCCTGCCTACTCCGCTAGCTGGGGGTGCACCAGACAGCACAATCCAGCACCCGAACACCGGGCACAGCATCCTGGGATCGGCCAGGTGCCCAGCCCGCCAGGCTCAGGATATGGCCTGTGGGTCTCCAGAGGGGAAGAGCCCCGCTCAGGTCAGGCCCTGCCCGAAAGTCCCCCTGTCCGTCCACCCTGGCTCCACAGCAGGGCCCAGCCCACGCTCCCAGCCGGGCACTGCTCATCCTCTCACCGCAGGGGCGTTCTGCACACTGGCCCCTTGCGCTCCCGCAGTCCTGCCAGGGCCCCCGCCCGGCATGCCAGGCAGCGGTGATTATAGGTACCACCAGCAGCCCCAACCCAGCAGGGCCGTGCATGGAGATCTCCACCCTCCCTGCTGGCTCCATCGGCTCCTGCCCAGCACCCTGGGGGTTAACACCACCGCGCGCTTCCACCAGTGCCGGGACTTAATGCCACGGGGGGCAGAGGATTAGAACAAGCCAGACGGCGCAGGAACACCAGGCTCGAGGTAACCTCCGTGCGAGGGTAAAGACAGCCAGGATGGCAGAGGAGCCGGGGCACCTGCTTGCTCCAGCTGCGACCCTGGAGGGGTGGGGTGGGGGGCTGGAAATGGGACCATCCCACCAATGCAGGGGGACGGCCCCCCCACTGCTCTGCACTGCCCCCCACTGCTGGCAGTGGCAGGCCCTGACGGGAGCCGTGCATGTGGCAAGGGCTGAGCTGGCCTCGAAGCCAGCTGGGAGGGTGGGGAGCTGGGGATGTCCTGCTTGGCTCCCCGGGAGGAGCAGCTACAGCCCCCCCCAGCGCTAGGCGCTGTACAGATACCTTGGGCGGCAGGAGAGCCCGAGCCCTCCCCCAGCCCAGTACAGCCACCCCCAGACAGGATCGCCACATGGCCAGGTTCTCCCGGGGCCCTCCTGCTTCCCTCTGAGCTGTCGCTATGGGGCTTGCAGCCCCATGGCTAGCAACCGCAGGGCTGTGACAGCAGCTCAGTGCATTGGAGGGAGGCTCCACCACACCCCAACCCTGACGCTGTAGCCTGCCAAGAAATGGCCCCATGGTGCCAGGGCATCCCAGGGGTGCATGGGGGGCAGGAGCCGAGGGGCTGCAAGCCGGGAGCGTGCCAGCTGGAACAGATGGTGCATGGTTTTCTAGCCCAGGACCCAGTTCCCTACACTCCTACAGGGAGCCCATCCTGCGAACAGGTCCCCTGGCCACGGTTTACCTGGCACGTGCCGTAGGCAGTTACGGGGTCTCTGGCCCTGCCATTACCAAGCTGGGGTTCACAGAGCACCCAGGGCTGTTACTGGGCTGGGCAGCACTGCTCTGCTGGGCACAGTCACTTGCACAGGGCTTCCTGGGACGAGAAACCCCCAGGGGAATGGGCCACGTCTGGGCCCAAGCAGGGAGCAGCAGCAGGGCCAGGCGAGGGGGGAGCAGGA